ATCATCTTCTTCACTATAATCACCATCATCACCCTCACTATATTCACCATCACCCTCACTGTAATCACCATCATCCTCACTATCATCACCATCATCATTAGTGATGATTAGTAATCATTATCCACACTATTATCACCATCATCATCCTCACTATCATCACCATCATCATCATCCTCACTATCATCACCATCATCTTCAATATAATCACCATCATCACCCTCACTATATTCACCATCATCACCCTCACTGTAATCACCATCATCCTCACTATCATCACCCTCACTATATTCACCATCATCACCCTCACTGTAATCACCATCATCCTCACTATCATCACCATCATCATCCTCACTATAATCACAATCATTATCCACACTATTATCACCATCATCATCCTCACTATCATCACCATCATCATCATCCTCACTATCATCACCATCATCATCCTCACTATCATCACCATCATCCTCACTATAATAACCAACATTATCTTCATTATAATCAACCATCAACATGGCGACGGAGGCACAGAAGTTAAGTGCTCGCCCAGTAATCGGAAGGTTGCAGGTTCGAGCCCCGCTCAGTCTGTCGTTGTGTCCTTGGGCAAGACACTTAACCCATGTTGCCTGCTGGTGGTGGTTGGAGGGATCAGTGGCGCCAGTGCTCGGCAGCCTCGCCTCTGTCAGTGCGCCCCAGGGCAGCTGTGGCTACATTGTAGTTCATCCCCACCAGTGTGTGAATGTGTGTGTGAATGGATGAATGACTGATTGTGTTGTAAAGCACCTTGAGGAGTTCCAGGACTCTAGAAGGCGCTATATCAAATACAGACCATTTACCATTCTCAATTTAATCAATACCATCATCATCTTCACTATAATCACCATCATCATAACTGTTACGTGCAGTGCTCCTTTTTGGCTACAAGATGGCCTCAGTGGCTTCTGCCTCGCCCATCTCCCAGTGCCCAGCTGTGTTTAATTACTGACAATCACTAGACAGCTGTTAAAAGCTGCTCTCGTGCTCTCAGTCAGGGAGAAGGTACAGGGAAGTGTGGGCACGAAGGTGTTCATACTGCTCTCTTCTCCTTGTGTGCTTGTGTGTGTGTTAGCTTAGCGATACTTCGGTGATTTAGTGATTTAGACTCGTGATAATTAGGATTTCGGGTACTTAGACTTAGGACTGGCCTTCGACTCCCCCCTTTTGGATTACCCCTGAGCGTCTCTGCTTACCAGGACATCTCTTGTTAAATCTAGTGTTTTTGTGTATATATATTGAATATTTTAGTTAAATCCTTTTCATCCTCCCAGCCCTTTTGGCTTGGCGCTTTGTGTTAGTCCTTTTTCCCTTTTGTAGGCTCTTTGTGTTTAATAAAAATCCTTTGTTGGTGACACATTTACTTTGTTATTATTAAACCTGTACACAACATCTCTTACTCCCTCTTCCACATCAATCCTAGTGAGCTGAGGAACGTAACAATCACCATCACTATATTCACCATCATCAACATAATCATTCTCACTATAATCACCATCATTATCCTCAGTATAATCACCATCATCCTCACTATAATCACCATCATCAACATCATTATCCTCAGTATAATCACCATCATCCTCACTATAATCACCATCATCAACATCATTATCCTCAGTATAATCACCATCATTCTCACTATAATCAATATCATCACCTTCACTATAATCACCATCATCATCAACATAATCCTCACTATAATCACCATCATCCTCACTATAATCACCATCATCATCATCATCATCATCTTCACTATAATCACCATCATCATCCTCACTATCATCACCATCATCACCCTCACTGTAATCACCATCATTATCCACACTATTATCACAATCATCATCCTCACTATCATCACAATCATCATCCTCACTATCACCATCATCATCCTCACTATCATCACCATCATCCTCACTATAATCACCATCATTATCCTCAGTATAATCACCATCATCCTCACTATAATCACCATCATCAACATCATTATCCTCAGTATAATCACCATCATCCTCACTATAATCACCATCATCAACATCATTATCCTCAGTATAATCACCATCATTCTCACTATAATCAATATCATCACCTTCACTATAATCACCATCATCATCAACATAATCCTTCTCACTATAATCACCATCATCCTCACTATAATCACCATCATCATCATCATCATCATCATCTTCACTATAATCACCATCATCATCCTCACTATCATCACCATCATCACCCTCACTGTAATCACCATCATTATCCACACTATTATCACAATCATCATCCTCACTATCATCACAATCATCATCCTCACTATCACCATCATCATCCTCACTATCATCACCATCATCATCCTCACTATAATCACCATCATTATCCTCAGTATAATCACCATCATCCTCACTATAATCACCATCATCAACATCATTATCCTCAGTATAATCACCATCATCCTCACTATAATCACCATCATCAACATCATTATCCTCAGTATAATCACCATCATTCTCACTATAATCAATATCATCACCTTCACTATAATCACCATCATCATCAACATAATCCTTCTCACTATAATCACCATCATCCTCACTATAATCACCATCATCATCATCATTATCTTCACTATAATCACCATCATCATCCTCACTATCATCACCATCATCATCCTCACTATAATCACCATCATTATCCTCAGTACAATCACCATCATCCTCACTATAATCACCATCATCAACATCATTATCCTCAGTATAATCACCATCATCCTCACTATAATCACCATCATCAACATCATTATCCTCAGTATAATCACCATCATCCTCACTATAATCACCATCATCAACATCATTATCCTCAGTATAATCACCATCATCCTCACTATAATCACCATCATCAACATCATTATCCTCAGTATAATCACCATCATTCTCACTATAATCAATATCATCACCTTCACTATAATCACCATCATCATCAACATAATCCTTCTCACTATAATCACCGTCATCCTCACTATAATCACCATCATCATCATCATCATCATCATCTTCACTATAATCACCATCATCATCCTCACTATCATCACCATCATCACCCTCACTGTAATCACCATCATTATCCACACTATTATCACAATCATCATCCTCACTATCATCACAATCATCATCCTCACTATCACCATCATCATCCTCACTATCATCACCATCATCATCCTCACTATAATCACCATCATTATCCTCAGTATAATCACCATCATCCTCACTATAATCACCATCATCAACATCATTATCCTCAGTATAATCACCATCATCCTCACTATAATCACCATCATTATCCTCAGTATAATCACCATCATCCTCACTATAATCACCATCATCAACATCATTATCCTCAGTATAATCACCATCATTCTCACTATAATCAATATCATCACCTTCACTATAATCACCATCATCATCAACATAATCCTTCTCACTATAATCACCATCATCCTCACTATAATCACCATCATCAACATCATTATCCTCAGTATAATCACCATCATTCTCACTATAATCAATATCATCACCTTCACTATAATCACCATCATCATCAACATAATCCTTCTCACTATAATCACCATCATCCTCACTATAATCACCATCATCATCATCATCATCTTCACTATAATCACCATCATCATCCTCACTATCATCACCATCATCATCCTCACTATAATCACCATCATTATCCTCAGTACAATCACCATCATCCTCACTATAATCACCATCATCAACATCATTATCCTCAGTATAATCACCATCATCCTCACTATAATCACCATCATCAACATCATTATCCTCAGTATAATCACCATCATCCTCACTATAATCACCATCATCAACATCATTATCCTCAGTATAATCACCATCATCCTCACTATAATCACCATCATCAACATCATTATCCTCAGTATAATCACCATCATTCTCACTATAATCAATATCATCACCTTCACTATAATCACCATCATCATCAACATAATCCTTCTCACTATAATCACCATCATCCTCACTATAATCACCATCATCATCATCATCATCTTCACTATAATCACCATCATCATCCTCACTATCATCACCATCATCACCCTCACTGTAATCACCATCATTATCCACACTATTATCACAATCATCATCCTCACTATCATCACAATCATCATCCTCACTATCACCATCATCATCCTCACTATAATCACCATCATCATCCTCACTATAATCACCATCATCATCCTCACTATAATCACCATCATCATCCTCACTATCATCCTCACTATAATCACCATCATTTTCCTCCTTACTATAACCACCACCACATCATCATCACCACAATCATCACATTATCATTATCATCATCATCACCACCACCACCACTGTCGTCATCATCATCATCATCATCATCATCATCATTTTCACTATCTTCATCACCGTCATCATCCCCACCACCACCATTATTACCATCATCACCAATATCACCATCATCATCATCATCACCACCACCACCATCACCATTATCATCACAAGGGTTTGCCATGGTTTGAATTTGAACAATTCCAATTCCTCGTTTTGATTCCGGTTCCTATCGATTCCTGATTCTTTCAAGACATAACACGTTTTAAATGAGCCAGCTAACCACAGGTCCTACTAGATGAAATAATCTGAACTTCAACACAATTTTAACTCTATGAACAACAACATCACCTTCATTTAGACACAAACATGTTTTCAAGGAAGAAAAAGACTTGCAGCACAATCAGTGTGTTTGTTTCTGACCACAACCAAAGTCTGGTGGAAGCCTCTGGGATGAGAGTTTAAATGTCTCCAACATAACCAGAGAAGTCCAGCTGTTTTTAATTACAACCACCACCATCATCATCACCACCATAACCATCATCCACCCAGCCACCACTCAGAGCACACACTCATTCTCACCGCTAGGCCCAGCTGTTGCACTTGTGTGATGGAGCAGAACTCCTGCATGCAGAACAGAATGGCTTTGACTCCACCCTCAGTGGCAAAGCAAACCCTCCACTCATATTTCAGCATGAGGAGACGCGTGAGTCTAAGCGTGCAGACCACCACGTCTCTGGAGGAGGAACCCAGGAACTCCACCAGCAGCTTCAGCACCTTGTCCCTTTTGGAGCAAAAGGACACAACATCACAAAGACACCAAAAAAGTACCGTATGATCCACAGACCCACCCCAGGTCCACTCAGACTAGAACCAACCCCGTTTTCTCACCGTACACTCTGGGCAGAGTCACTCCTCATAGAGTTCTTTTCCTGAGTTGTCTTGTCATCCAGCAGTCGGGTGATGAAGAGGACAGCAGTGAGCTGCTGTGCCGTGTCAGAAACAGACCCCCCCTTCGTTACAATGTCCACAACCTCCCCCAGCTTCTCCAGCAGAGTCTTCTTCCCTTGCAGACGGGGACTGTTGAACACTGCAGCAGTACAGAGGGCTGGTTTCATCAACTAACCCATAAACAGAAAAACATCTGGAGCACAAACAGAAAGGAAACTGTTTCACTAGACTCAGACTAGAGCCAGTCAAAACAATGATGCACCGATATGAAATTTTTGGGCCAATACCGATATCCGATATTAAGATCACTGTTATGGCCAATAACCAATATTTTCCGATACCGATATACTGACAATAATGCTTCTAAATTCAGCAGATTTTGTATAGAATGAAAATTATTAAAGCTGAATTTATATTACACACACAACACACACATTTACGGTCCTGAGATGATTACATTTACTGTCACGTGATTAAATTACATATCACCCCCTCACCCTCTGAAACAGGCAAACTAATGGAGACGAGATGGAAAAAAATATTGGTTGTTAACATCGGCTTGGTTTTATTTACCGAACCGATACTGATATGTTAAAAACTGACTAACATCGGCCGATACCAATATTGATGCCGATATATTGTCCATCCCTAAGTCAAATGATTGTGTCTCATCTGCAGCAGGCTCAGATACTAAATCAGCAGACGTACACATCCATGAATCGTCTCTGTGAGACATGGACTTGGCTCACATCAGAGCCAAGTCCATGTCTTCTGAAAACAAAGAATGTCCACCTTTCATCTTGTCCTCCAGGTCTTCAGGATATCTGCTCACGTCTTCTGTGGGTAGCTCACTCTCTGTCTCTGCGCAGCCTGAGTCCTCAGGGAGCTCTTTCTTGGCCTTCTTGGACACCAAGCCCATAGCTGAAGAAGAGGAGGTTGAAGGTGCAGATGAAGAGGAGAGGCTCTGTGATCCTTCTCCACGATTGGACAAACCCACAGAGCTTACTGCTGGAAAACAAACTATAGTCAGACTAGGGCTGGGCGATATGACGATTTTAGACCGTTTTACGATCTACACATCTGACGGTCTGTCATTTTTGAGAGACCTTTTTATCACGATTCACAGCTCTGCTGTTGAATTTCTGCCTCTGAATGAAAAGGGAACTTACCCCAGGCGAATGACACGCCTTTGTTTGACCCTTAACCAATCAGAGTGAGTCATAGTAATATATTAGTGTCCCGCTTGTTTTCACCTGTGTGTGAACGGTGTGAACAAACATGGCTTCGGCCGCGGCTGAGAGCGACAACAACGTTTTCGTTCCGAAGAGGAACGCAGGGTTTCCTTAGCGCGCGGCGCTAACAACTTAGCGACGTGACATGTCTCGGAGAAAGCGTAAAAACACGTTGGACGCGTCTTCTGAAGCAGGAAAATAACACCGCTTCTTAAGCAGAGCACGACGCCGCCTTGGCTCGTCCACCCTCTGCCGAGCCGGTGTCGGTGGGTAGCTGGAGCTGCCCCGTGACTGCCTGATGGAAAACCAGCGGGTTTCATCAGACTCGTAGTTTCTTGTTTTTGCTGGGGACCCCCTGTATTTTACCGCTCCCTCCTGCAGTCTTCCCCTATTACAATTTAAAATAATTCTGTAAATCTGTGTATCAATAGAAAAAATCTCTGCCTCTGCCAGCTGCAGTAAATGTAGTTTCCAAATAATAAGAGGTGCATTCATCTGTGTATCTCCTTTGATCCGCATTAGTGATATTCTCAGCACCAGAACAGTGAAGCAAAGAAAGATTCCTGAGTTTGTTAGTAATTTTATTTATTAGGTGCATCTAACCTGTTCTATTTTTCTCTGAAATGAGATCAAATCAGTGCTTCTATGGGTTGTCTCCACTCTGCACTGGAAAATTTTACTTTATTTAGAGACTTGTTGCAGAAAATATTCAGAATGTGCAGTTATTTGCTACCACAAGCGATCTCTGGTCCAGCCGCACATCAGAGCCGTATTTGAGCTTAACTATCCACTACATGAGCAACTGGGAGCTACATAGTATTTTGAACAAGTTAATGTTTGTACAATACGTTTGCAATTGACATGTTTGCACTTTAAATATGTTTACGATTTTAATTTATGTTAAGTAACTTGAAAAACTAGAAAAACAGATTTTTGTAATTGTTTCTCTCAGGGCTTTTATCATCTCTGGTGTGAGTTTAAAATATAAGTGTGTTAGCACTATGTTGATTATCCCCAATATGAATAAATGTTTATATATTCAATGTTTCTCTTCTTTAATACGCAATTGAAGTTATGCTATTCATGGATTAAAAATCGCGATAAAATCGAAATCGTGATAAAATATTGGAAAAATCGTGATATTCTATTTTTGCCATATCGCCCAGCCCTAAGTCAGACTAGATGTCCTGAGGAGTAGATTGTTAGAGGACCTGTCTGTGTCCTCACCCAGAATCTCTTCATCCTCCAGGCTAGCTCCTCCTCTCTTCAGGTAGTATTTGGAGAAGGTGTGGGAGCACAGGAGGTCACTCAGACATGAGGAGGGCAGCTTCTGCTTCAGGAAGTGCAGCAGCTTCCGGGAAACCTCTCCGGGGACAGACAGGTTGATGAGCAATGACTCATCCAGCTCCAGCTCCTGTACAGAGAGGACATGAGGACTGACCTGAGATCTGAAGCATTCTGATTTAACACACACAATGGGTCAGTGGTTCTGGTTTTACCTGCTCATCCAGGCTCTGCAGCAGGAGGACATTCACCTCCTGTTGCTGTCTCGACTCTAGCTTCTTGATGAAGAACAGGATCTCCCACCACTCGGCTCTGCTCAGGTGCACTGGATCCTCCTGCTGTCCCTCCGACAGGTACGGCAGGGAATATAGTCCACCAGGAGGCTTTGAGAAAAACGTCTGACTCACTGAGGAGCAGGAGGAGGACGTGAGTTCAGAGGAGGAGCAGTATTACGTAGGTGCATGAAGACGAGGAGTTCAGTGATTTATTTTTACCAGAAGAAAGTTTCAGGGTCTCAGTCAGTGAGGAGGCCTTCTCCTGTGTCTCCTTCTCAGACTGGCTGCTGCTGCTGCTGCCCATTATCTCCACCATGTGCCAGTGGACCCAGTAGGTTCTTGACAAGGAGTTCCAGTACACCTGAACAAATCACAGAGTGATCCAAAACTAGGATAGCACTCAATCATGCAATACATGCAACTCAAAGTGCTTAACAAATTAAAAAGGCCCCGCATACCCACATTCCCTCCCATCCCCAGAATTTTAAGAACAGTCCGACAATAAAAACCCCTTCACATCACTCATTGTCCGGCACACACACACACACACACACGAACCCCCCCCCCCCCCCCCCCCCCCAATGGAAAAAACACAATGGGCTGAGATCAGATTAGCCAAACCAGTTAAGATAAGGATAAAGAAACACCATCAGGGGAGCCATCCGCCCCGACAGCAGCAGCAGCCGAGGCACCAACACAGGGCGCCCAGGGCAGGGAGGGTGGAGAACCCCACCTCCACCCAGGCACACCTGGAAAGCACCCAGGCCACCACAGATGACCACTGCCCCCGGGGCAGAGGGCTCCCACAGAGGAAACACTGGAGAAAGGTTAAGGTTAAAATATAAAATCATAAGAGCTAAAATGAGAATTGTAATATAAAAAGTTATATAGATATAAAAATAATGTTGATCATAAATCTATGGTAGAAATGTTTATCTATGTTTAAATATTAAATGTTTACCGTAAATCCTCTAATACAGGCCGGTATTCAATTAAAGGCCGGGTCTCCAATTTTGGCCGGTGTCAGAGTCAGCGGAGGTAAATAATGGCCGGTCTCTTATTGTGGCCGGATGGTATGTGGTAACACGCAAGTACGAGCGTCCCAGCAGCAGGGTTATAGTTCCCAAATCAACCAGCAGGAGGCAGTAGGGGTTCACGCAGACCTTTATTAGGCTTTTTTTCAACGCTTTGTAACGCTACAGACACGATCCTCTATCACGCTCCTACCACACAGAGTCACGGTGTCAGTTAACCATGCTAATTCAACCCGCTCCACAGAACACACATCACCTTCCCTGTGGCTTACATAACACTCACACAACACGCAAATCAGCACATAGGAACTAGCAGAACGATAGGAAACACATATAACACAATACCCAGAATGCACCTGGCTTACAACCCCAGCCAGGTCATTACACTATCAAGTTCAAAGAGAACGTGCTGATTACACTGCAGAACACTCTGGAGAGCAGCAGTAGGGGGTGTATGAACTACAGTAATCCCTCGTTTATCGCGGTAGATGCGTTCCAGACCTGGCCGCGATAGGTGAAAATCCGCGAAGTAGGGACTCCCAGCATGCCCCTCGCGGGGATTCCCTCCACATCGCACCTACGTCACAAACCGCGGCTATAAACCAAACGGAAGTCGCCTTTCCAGCTCACCACTCAGTCATCGTTTCTTCAAATTCATGATCAGAGTTTCCAACCTACCAATCAATCCAACGAACTATCAGCTCATAGTAAGTTATCTTACTTACTTCTGGAAAGCCCGGCATTTCCGTGTCACTTCGTTGACACTCGAACGCTCGGGGGTTTCCTAGAGCAGCCGGCGTTTCACCGACGCTATCACTTCCGCGTCTGTGAAACCACACTCCCTATTGAATTATCGTATGATCACATTCTCTGTGATCAGCAACGCGCTGTGCCAGACCTTAGCTACTGACACGCGATCGTTCATGTCGGTTCATTTCCTTTAATGTTTTCTGTCTTTTATTTGCACCTGATGTGTATCGCTGCTGTGGAGCGGGGCACATCACCTTGTCCTCCGACGCACAGATCCATGATGCGGCCGGCAAGCAGGGAGCGCTCAGCTGTTTTCGCGGTCGGTAGATCTGCCTCCTGAGCACGGCCACAGTAACAATCAGGTGTCGCCACCTCAAAAACTAATTTAACACGCGATCGTTCATGTCAGTACATTTCCTTTAATGTTTTCTGTCTTTTATTTGCGCCTGATGCGTTTCGCTGCATGCTGTGGAGCGGGGCGCTGCGGGCATCACCTTGTCCTCCGATGCACTGATCACTGATACAGCCGCCAAACAGCGAGCGCTCCGCTGTTTTTGCGGTCGGTAGATGTTTTAGAACTTAAGTTCAAAGGTAACTCATGAGGTGAATATATATGAACCCAGGTAGCAGTTTTTCTTTATGATTGAGAGGAGATGCAGGAAGATAATAAACAGACAGGACAGAAAAATAGTCAAATAAAAACAAGTTAGTTTTTGTACCTGGTGGTTGCAACAAACAGACACCATTGAAGGTAATCAGAAGTGAGGAACAGAAAATGAAATAATTATTTTAATGTTTAGAGCAGCAGGAACTCTGAGAGGCTGCAGGTGCATCAGTGAGTTTGCGGCTGCTGCGCAGGGGGAGGGGGGAGAGGGCTGAAGCAGGAACTACCGTTGTTAAAAGAAATGTGTTTAACTTTGAAAATGTGGGCGCAATGTTAATTGTCAAAGACTCCAGCGAACCATTAGTTCATTTTGCTCAAATAGAAATATAGGCCTGCCTCTAATACTGGCCCTCCTTCCAATAAAGGCCTGGAGCTTGATGAGCTTGAGTCAAATACAGGCCCGGGCCTGTATTAGAGGATTTACGGTATCTATGTTTCTATGTTTAAAAATAGCACGTATAAAGAAAGAATACATAAAATAAATAAATAAATAGATAAATAACCTCACTTATTTATTTATTTAAAAAGTGATAGTAATCAGTTAAAAGCTAAGCTAAAAAGGTGGGTCTTGAGCCTGTTTCTAAAAACATGAACGTTCTCTGCGGCCCCGAGCAGCTCGTTCCAGGGGTAAGGACCATAGTACTGAAACAACGCCTCGCTGTGAATATGTGTCCTGACTTTAGGGATGACAAGGAGAGGGGATGCCAGAGGAGCACAGAGACTGAGTACAGATGTCTTGATGTCTAAAATGCAATTAAAAAGTGTGTCCATTGGCCTTGTGTCATCAGGAGACACAGAGAAGTACAACTGTGTATCATCAGCGTAACTGTGGAAATTTTCCTCGTGTCTCCTGATGACGCTGCCAAGAGGGAGCATATGAAGGTTAAAACGCACTGGGCCTAAAATTGAACCGTGGGGCGCACACCACATGTAATCTCATGGACCCTGGAGGAACAGGTATCCAAACTCACCATAAAAGTCCCGTCTGTGAGGTAGGAAGTGAACCATCGGTGAGCAGCAACAGAGAGGCCGATCCGTTTCAAACAAGTTAAAAGAATAGTGTGGTCTACTGTGTCAAAGGCAGCACTTAGAACCAGTAGAACCAACACAGTCACCTTCCGTTTATCATAATTTACTCTAAAATCATTTAAAATCTTCAGAAGGGCTGTCTCGGTGCTGTGGTTCACCCCAAAACCAGACTGAAATTTTTCAAAGACATTATGGGTGTTGATAAAATCATTAAGTTGAATTAAAACAAGCTTTTCTAAAATGTTGCTTAATAATGGTAAGTTGGATACCAGTCGATAATCGTTTAAATCATTAAAATCTAAATTGTTCTTCTTCAGCAGGGGCCTCACCACCGCCCGTTTAAAAGCGGCAGGAAAGACCCCGTCTGAAGGGAGCAATTCATCAAACTTAAAACCTCATCTCTAAAAGAATTGTAAAATTGTTTAAAAAACCTAGTGGGAATTGGGTCCAGGACACAGTGGGTCTCACTGAGGAGAAAGCTTTATCAATACTCTCAGCTTCAACCAGGACAAAACTGTCCACTGTTTCCTCAGGTAGACACACTCTCAGATGCGTCTAAAACCACGTTACACTGAGAGGATCAAATATTACATCTGATGGTGTCTACCTTCCCTCTGAAGTGGGCTGCAAACTCCTCACAAAGAGTGTCTGAGGGGGGTTTCTGAGTTGAGTGCAGGGTCCGACATTGAATTTTTTACTCACCGGCCAAGTTGGCCGGTAGATGATGAAAATCTACCGGCCAAGCATATTTTTTACCAGCCAAAATTATAAATGATTTAGATCTACCTAAAGCATGTAATTCTATATTATGTGGATTCCTAACAGAATGACAAAATAATTAAAACATCAATTAATAAGGAAAACAACTCTTTTCTCATTTTTACTATTTATTTATTTATTTTTAGAGATGTTTTTATGAACTCTTTCATTGAAATCTAGTCAGACTCCTTGTTTTCTCTGTCCATGAAGTCTGGTCTCCTGCTTCTGACACCGTCTTTGTGCCAAAGCATTACAGCCTCATTTGGGTCCTAGTCCTTGATCTCTGGAGAACACAGCTGCACCATGAGAATATCTGAAAGTGTGTCAGGGCTAGGGTTGTCACGGTAACCGGTGTAGCAGTAACCCCCGGTAAAAAAGTTGACAATAAATAATAACAGTCTTGTTTAAAATATATATATATATATATATTATATATATATATTATATATATATATATATATATATATATTATATATATATATATATATATATATATTATATATATATATATATATAATATATATATATATATATATATATTATATATATATATATATATATATAATATATATATATATATATATATATATATATATATATTATCTCGGTGGATTACCGTGGCTGCGGCGTAGGCGCGGTGACCCTTACCAGCCACCGTATCATCTGCTGAAGTTGCCGGCGGCACATGCGCACTTTATTGTTTACGACCAAAACTTTCTTTAAGCTAAAGTTGAAATAATGGCCAGAGGAGACGACAGCACTCGGGACATTTATTATCCCTCAAAGAAGACAAAGTCGGAAGTATGGGCATTTTTTGGATATTTGAAGAATGCCGAGGGACAGTTGTCTGTGAAAGGCAGCAACGCTACGTGGCCATCATAATGTAGCCATTGTCTCACGACTCCACCATCTCCAGTTCGCCACTTTTCACAAAATCTTCTGGTTGCCACTGGTCCTGGTGGTTTTTCTTCCAGTTCGACGAGTTTTCATTTGGAAGGCTGGCTGACTCCAGTTAAAAACCGCCACATTTCACCGCTAGTTTTAACACGAAGCTAACCGCTAACTTGATAAACTGATTGAATGGGATAGGTGGAAATGACGTTGGATGCGGCGTTCACGTTTCGCGTACGTTTATGTACGATGCATGCAGGCGGGAGGAGTATCAGAAATCCGTGGAAGATGACTGACAAACAACTAATTTGGTGCAAACAATTACTCGCCAGGTGGCAGGTAGAGCTCAAAAATTTACTCGCCAAATGGAGCAATTTACTCGCATTTGGCGAGTGGCGAGTGTTAATTTCGGACCCTGGTTGAGTGTGAGTTGAAGCTGAGAATATTATTGATTGTGGAGAAAAAAATTTAGGGTTATTTTTATGGTCTGAGAGGATATGTATTTCTTGAATTCCTTATGGCATTATTGTATGTTTTTAGTAGTTCTGAATATATCTGATTATTTATTGTTAATTTGTATTTCCTCCAGCTCCTCTCCGCCACTCTGTAGTTTCTCTTTAGCTTTTTTAGGTTTTCATTTCTCTAAAGTGATGTATGATTTGACTATAAATTTTTGGTTTTGAGTGGAGCAAGCAAGTTGAGAGCCAACTCTAGTCTTCTGTTAAAATCATTGAAAATGGCATCACAAGGGGCGGAGACGTTAGTTGGAGGGATGTTGTTAAAAGCTTCAAGAAAACCAGCAGCCACTTTAGGGGTTAGATGATGTAATCCTTACAGTTGTCACTGAGGGCCCGTACTGGATAACGCTGGTGATGTTAAAAAATACGCAATAGTGATCGGAGACTGTCAAGTCGACAACAGAGGACACACCAGTGGACAGGCCATACGTGATGACCAAGTCCAGGGTGTGTCCTCTGTTGAGAGTTGGCTGCGTGACATGTTGGGTAAAATCCATATAATTCCAGATGTTTAAAAAAAAAAAATCTGTGGCTAAAGGGTCTAAAAGGTCATCCACGTGCAGATTAAACTCTCCAGCTAAAATATTCCTACCAAAGGAGTTGTGTAAAATTGATAAAAACTCTGAAAACTCTTGAATAAAAGGTGCAGTCTGTTTAGGAGGCCTGTAAACAGTGACACATAAAAGCTGAGTGCTAAAAGCGGCTGCAGTACATTTAAGTGTTAAAATTATCGAATAAAACAAGGCCAAGGTGAAAGAGGCAGTGGTGGACCTCATAAGGACAAGATATTTAACCAGACCATTGACATCCTAGGGCTGGGCAATAAATCAAAAATGTATCGTTATCGAATTTCTGACACTTAGAGATTATCATTTTCCCATGTGAATAAATCTGATGATAAAAAAAGAAAAGATTTGTGTAGGTTGGAAACAATCATGTCCCTTTAAGAAGCTGTACCACCTTCAGTCACGTAAAAATGTGACTCAACATAATACATGTGACAGCCCCATTTAGTGGACAACTTTTGTCTCTGTGATACCTGTAGTTATCGTCCATTTATCGTTGTCGAGGTGAAATCCTCAATATATTGTGATATTGATTTTAGGCCATATCACCCAGCCCTAGCTGGGGAGCAGCACCACTCCCATAAATAGGCCCAGAAAAGCACTGGACACAACCTACAATGACTATGGGGACGATGCAAGCCAGAGACTCGTTGTAGGACATTTCTGTTGGACCTGCTGTGTTCCCTGCATCTAAACACAGTTTGGATCATAACAGTCTCATGCTCCCACACTGATGCACAACAGTTGTGTTCACACAGAGCAGAGAACAAGTGGTTTGTTCCTCACCTGAACAGGTGGTGATCCATCGTTACTGTAGCGAAACTCTCCTTCGTCTCCAGCGCTCACCTCCTCATAGTCCTCCAGCATTCGAACAGTCATGCCACTCTTCAGATTGTCCTGGACGTACTCCACATAAGCTGAACGGCTGGCAAAGTCTGAGCGTGTCTTGAACCCGTTTCCTGTCTTCTTTGCTGGTGTGGAGGCCACTGCTGTGATGGAGGAGCTGCTGGTCAGAACAATGGGAGAGGCACAGAATCGAGGCTGAAAAATGGACCTAATGACGGGGTGTGATAATGCCTCTATGCCCTGCTCCTCCACGTATGTCCCGCCTCCTCCTGGTTGGTGGTTGGAGAAGTCAGGAGGTTTCCGGTTGCGGTCCCAGCCCATCACCCGGACCAGCTCTGAGATCAGGTTGGCCATTGCCATGGTGAACTCAAACTCTCTTTGGATTCGCTTAAGCTCCAGCTGGTGGGTGGAGCCAGCAGATGAGGATGAAGGGGCAGGGCTTGTGTCCTGTCTGTCAGAGCGTGAATCAACCCCAGCAGTGTTGAGCTTGTCCATCAAAGACGTGACGCACAGATACCGTTTCACCAGAGAGAAGAGCAGCTTCCCAGGAATCTGACAACAGACAAACAGTGAGATCCGATCGAATCAATGTATCAATGCCCATCTGCAGAGCTGGATGAAAAAATTTAGCAATGCCACTGATCTCTGAGATCATCACGAAGACAAATAGGCCACAATGGAGACAGATTATGTTAGTGAAGAGATTTAACAGTAATATTATAAGAAGGGATCATTTAGTTGTGCTGTACTTCATGGAGTTCATTTAGTGGTGTACTTCATGGGGTTAATTTAGTGGTGTAATTCATAGTGTTCATTTAGTGGTGTACTACGTGAGGTTCATTTAGCGGTGTTGTACAATGTGGGGTTCATTTAGCGATGTTGTACTTCATGGGGTTTATTTAGCGATGTTGTACTTCATGGGGTTCATTTAGTGGTGTACTTCATGGGGTTCATTTAGTGGTGTACTACGTGGGGTTCATTTAGTGGTGTACTACGTGGGGTTCATTTAGTGGTGTACTAGATGGGGTTCATTTAGTGGTGTACTAGATGGGGTTCATTTAGTGGTGTTGTACTATGAGGGGTTCATTTAGTGGTGTACTATAAGGGGTTCATTTAGTGGTGTACTTCATGGGATTCATTTAGTAGTGTTGCACTATGTGGGGTTCATTTAGTGGTGTATTACAAGGGGTTCATTTAGTGGTGTACTTCATGGGATCAATTTAGTGGTGTTGCACGATGTGGGGTTCATTTAGTGATGTTGCACTATGTGGGGTTCATTTAGTGGTGTACTTTGTGGGGTTAATTTAGTGGTGTACTTCGTGGGGTTAATTTAGTAATGTACTGTGTGGGTTTCATTTAGTGGTGTACTACGTGGGGTTCATTTAGTGGTGCACTTCGTGGGGTTCATTTAGTGTTGTACTTCATGGGGTTCATTTAGTGGTGTACTTCATAAGGTTCATTTAGTGGTGTACTTCATGGGTTTCATTTAGTGGTGTACTTCGTGGGGTTAATTTAGTGGTGTACTTCGTGGGGTTAATTTAGTAATGTACTATGTGGGTTTCATTTAGTGGTGTACTACGTGAGGTTCATTTAGTGTGTACTACGTGGGGTTCATTTAGTGGTGTTGTAATATGTGGGGTTCATTTAGCGATGTTGTACTTCATGGGGTTAATTTAGTGGTGTACTTCATGGGGTTAATTTAGTGGTGTACTACGTGGGGTTCATTTAGTGGTGTTGTACTATGTGGGGTTCATTTAGCGATGTTGTACTTCATGGGGTTCATTTAGTGGAGTACTTCATGGAGTTCATTTAGTGGAGTACTTCATGGGGTTCATTTAGTGGTGTACTACGAGGGGTTCATTTAGTGGTGTACGTTGCTGCCCTCTGATGCCTGCTCTCCCCTCTCCGATGATGCAGTCCTATGCGCGATCCAATGAGTAAACTCCATCGTCTCTGTTCATGGTTCCACATTCTCACTGAATCGCGCATGGGACTCCATCATCGGGGAGGGGAGAGCGGGCAGCAGAGGGCGACAACGTCCTCTGCTGCCTGCGGATAAACGGAGTAGGAAATGATGCCACCATCAGCGTCAGCTCTGCGGATGTTTGCAGCCGCAAACAAAATGTCAGCAAGGTAAAGAAAAATCTTATCTGTGTTTAAAAAAGAACCAAAAATGGAATTTGAAGACAAACACAGCAAGAATGTACAAAAGATCTAATAAGGACATTTTAAAAGCTTTCATCTGTCATTTAAAAAACACTTTCATTTCATTTTCTAAGCAGTATCTCTGAAAAGCAGCAACAGATATTTTCTGGAGTTCAAAACCTTTATTGACCTGGATTTATGAAATTAATCAATGCAAAATAACCAACATAATTGTGAAACCATGATATTTTCCTCAGACTAATAGTATGAGTACAATTTCTTATTATTGCAAACCTAGTCATGGCCAGGGTGTTTTGAGCTGTAGACCAGTGCTGGACTTACCTGAGGCAAGTGAATGCCGTCAAAAGAAATGCCGTGCTCTTCAGAGGAAGTCGTTTCAGCAAACAGCTCCAGCAGAGTGAAGCGGTTGTCAAAGTCCATGTGCTGCTCGATGCCATCCTGCTGACTGAGAGACAGGAGAACATAGGCCCGGCTGCCTGCAGAGACAGAACCACACACAGGTCAAAAAGCGCATCTGTATTAAAAGGCGCACTGCCGGTTCAGGGGAAGATCAAAGGTTTTTAATAGCGCCTTATGGTGCGGAAAATACGGTACTCTGAAGCACATTCATCAGAAACAATTGATTGCAATGAATTATTGAAGGTAGATAGGTAGACTGAAGGTAGCCAGTTTGTTTACAGTGAGGCACCGTGATCCACATGAAAGGGGTGTTGTGGGAAATTATGTTCCCCTGAAATATATGAAATGGTTTCCCTTAGGCAGTCAAGAGCAAATATTTCCAAATTCACAGAACTTATTGTCCATTATGAGGACTAAAGTACCTCAAATAAAAGATGGCTAAACTGAGTGAGATTACATCCTTTTACATAACTTTCAAAAATGATAAATAAGCTAGCTGAAAAAGAGTGCACAAGAATGTTTTTACTGTCTTTTTATTGTTTTTAGGAGGAAATATAGAAAAAAAATCACCAGCATAACATTATTACATTACTTTACATAATTTTCCTGTAAAAGTTGATCACAAATGTTGTGAAAATAGCCAGAAGTGTGATCTCCCGACACGGGGGACAGAATATTTCAGGGGAACACAATTTCTCACAACACCTGACCTCCCGGCTGACGTCACCTTTCCTCCATGTGTGAATGGTGACAGCTTCAAGATCTATCAGAAATAGCTTGCTTCCTTCAGAACTGGTAGGTTGATAAAAGTCATGAGTTTAATGCTTTTTTTTAAAAAGAGGTCAGGTAGCTTGTTTTAAGCTTTGTGTGAGTTAGGCTACACAGGTTCGAAATTGATTATGCAGCCTGACTCATGAGTGGGCCACCGTAGCTGCAATACTTTCTCTGAACTGCATGGCGCTAAAGAGTCGCATTTTTTCATCATGATTTCAATGGATTTCACACATGGGGCCTTTAAGATTTACTTTCCCTTTTGACTGAATTGTTGCTGCAGCATGTAGGTGTCATCCTGGACATGATCATCCTGAGAGTTGTAGGTGAAAACAGCTGGACTCTTCTGGTTATGTTGAAGATATTTTGCCTCTCATCCTAAGGTGGTTTTACGGAAACGCTACGCAGCCCAAAACAGCTCTATAGCGTGGTTTGAATCAGCCCATCTGAGCGTAGTTTTATTCCCATGCCAGCTCCATGACAGAAAGTAGGTGCGGGGGGAGGGGGGCCGTGTCAGTCGCGCGCGCGGGGGGGGGGGGGGGGTATTTGTGACAAAATAACATGGGGTGATCAGTAAACAGTGTAAAGTAACCTGAATGCTCCACAGAAACACAACTCAGCTGAAAAATGTTTTATGTCAAGACTCTGAACCAGGAAATGGCTGCAGGCAGTGAAACAGAAAGCGAAAAACTCCAGAGCAACCAGTGACTCCGCCCCCTAGCCAATCAGAGGCCAGAATCACAATGCCGGCCTGACTCATCCTTGCAAGGTACCTCAACGGAGCAGGGACTAAAATAAGGGGTTGGCAACCTTTCCCCATTAAAGAGCAATTTTTACCAGTTTCCCACAGTAAAGAAAACACTGAAGCCACAGCAGCCGCGACGTTGTGGGTGGGTCTACCGGGCCTGGGCCCACCCACTTGCAGTTAGGCCCACCCTAAAGGTTGGTTTATGCTTGAGGCATCCGCGAGGTCCGCACGGCTCCGCGCGGAAAAGTTGCGTCATTTTGCCTCATTTTAACAACCACGCCCCTCCACCGCGCCTCCTCACGGCCCAGAATTTCCGCAACGCGCACCTCGGAAAATTTCTAACCACGCGGACGGACGGACACGGAAAAACATGGCGGACCGGCAAGAACTAGTATGGCAGAGGTTTGTAAATACAGATATTTGTATGATTCAGCTCTCAAAGATCACCGTGATCAACATGTTGTTAATAATTCTTGGAGAGAAATAGCTCGCACTGTCGGAAAAGACGAGGACGCTGTTAAAAATGCTGAAATGCCATGTTGTAAACAGTCATTTCTACTTCTACTATGGTGTAGTGTTGGGTGCATGCCGTAGAGCACCATGCTGCCCCGTTCAGTTTGGGAGAATATTGGCTCACCGCAGAGACGAGCCGCACAAACCATAAAAGCTGCGAGGTGTGAAGCGCGTTCCATCCGCGAGCCGCATCACCAAGTGGAAAGTGAATGCGTCAAGCATAAACCAAGCTTTAAGACAGCTGAGAGCTGCTTTAACCAATCACAACCACAGGTCACAGACCGGTCACTCATGTACCTCAAAGTGATCTTTCAAGAGAAGATAATTAATAAAACAATTTGTATAAAATTAATCCAGAAGCTGTAGTCCGTCTGTGCCGACATTTTGGCATTTTTCACCCCGTTAGTGGTTTTATTGCTGAGCAGGAGCCGCATTTTAACATGTAACACGTTTCTTTTTAAAACGCGTTTAAACTCTTCAGAACACAAATCCAGGCTAAGTCTCATTGGATTGTTGTAACGTTGTCCTGAGGGAAACTTTACATTAAACAATGTTGAAAAGTAAGGCTGCACGAAACTAGGAAAACCTGCGATATTCGATAACAGTGCTCAATACTGCGATATCGATATTACTCACGATAAATGAACAAATACTAAAGTATGCAGTGTTGATGTCGTCTGGCGTGTGACGTCTGCTCTGGGTTCAAAGCAAACAAAAACTAATGCATGAATTCCATTACAACATAACATTTTTATTGCAAAAATATGCAGCTGCACCTGCTACTGTATTAGTAGCAAAACAACAAACTGCATGCATGCAGTTTCTCAGTGACTTTAAAACATCACCTCCACCATAAAACCTTTTCTGATGCTCCAAATACAGAAAAACATCCCTTACCAGGGTTTCTGAATAAATAAAATCAGAAAATAAGTTTGAATGTTAAATAATAGTTAACATCACTTAAATGCAACAGCAAATTCTCTCATTGCTACTGAGCATTTTCTCCACTTATGTGGTTATGATATAAAGCTGTTGCTGCTATTGGGAAGTGAACTGTGCTGGGCCAAACTAGGAGAATATTAAGATTTTCTGAGGGAAAGAGAAAAACAATCGTCTACCTTTCAGAAGAGGAACTGGCAAAAAAACTACATGGAAAATATGTGAAAACGTTTGTTTTTAACCCCAAATTGAACAAGTTTACCTGGATCTCAAAAAGCAGCTCAGATGATGAAACTGCAACTATGATTCTGATAACAAGCTAACTAATTGAACTAGCTCCTCTAAAATAACCGGCTAGCAGAGCTTCTGACTGACAGTTTATGTGCAGCAGCAAATCAACTTTCCTGATTAACAAGGTTATAAAAGCTCATAAAGGAAAAATCACTTTGATGTGTGGGGGAACTTTTCCAGGCCCTCTTTAGCAGGGTGGGACTGGGAGGAGAGTGCTGTAGCCTTTTAGCTGGAAGCTAACCGCAGCCTGGGGCTAATGGTGGGTTGGTTCACCGGCAGGTGTTGGAGTCAGCCCGGTTATTATCAGCTGCTTTATGGAAAGCCAAAACCGCCGAAATACGCCACTTTCCCAACCCGTCTAGTTAAGAGATAGCGAAAAAACATGTTTTGGTACCAGGCTGTAAACATGTTTATTTCTGCTGTGAAATTGGTATTTATGAGGATTTGCTCGCTTCTGACACCAGCCCCCAGCGGATGAGGGTGGAACTGCAACTTTTGGTACTTCCGGTTGGGCTCAATTTTTGAGCCGCATTGTGGGGGCTTGGTTTTCTCTCATTTATCAATAACTTCAAATAAACACATGAGTAATCCTAGCCCTCACTTATCAACATAGAAAATAAATATGAGAATATCTCAAATTTCTGAGTATGGAAAAAAAATTACATTCTAGTCCCCACTTATCAGCAGATTAAAAAATAAATCGTCCCAATTTATGGGACCACAAAAGTAAACAGAGCACTAACTCTCCTAACAAAGACCAAAAAAAACTATACAAAAGTGCATCTCAAACCTGTAACATGCCAAACATTTGAGTTCCTGGAATCGATTCTGAATCTTTATAAACAAGAATCCCGATTCAGACTTGAATCGATTTTTTTCAGCACCTCTATTAAACGAGATTTAAAAACCGCCAATGATGGAGCCTGTCGAACTATAATGCGTAGAGTTCCACAGCTATGGGGCAGCATGTACAAATACTCCTTCACCCTGTGATTTGTAATGCATCCAGGGAGTGCAAAGCAGCAGGTCAGCAGATTTCAACGTGCGCATGGGTACATAGGGAGTGAGCAGGTCAGAGCGATAGGGAGATGCCAGGTCGTTGAGTGCTTTAAAGACATCACGATAAGAGTCAGAAATTTTGATAACGATACATTTTTGATTTATTGCCCAGCCCTACTTACACCCAACCAACCAAAACACAGACCCAAGCATGCTCTGTCACCAAGCCCCCCCCCCCTTTCAAACCTAAACAGATAGCCATGTAGGGTTGGTCATCGAGAATCGAGCATCGATTGGAACCGGTTCCAAATGTTCATTTTTCCCAGAATCGCTCAACGTTTTTTATTTCGATTCCTAGTGTGCCGACGAAAGAGGAATCCGCGGCCGATCTCCGTGAAAAATAAACGTGATCTGCAAATTGTGATCAACGCTTTTCAGAGCTGATCACACCAGCTGTCTGTGTGCAGCACCGAGTCCCCCCTCCCACACCCGGTGCACAGCAGCCAAATATAAATGTGTCTGCCGAACTTTTACTCCGTAATGTTAACTTTTACTCCTGCAGTGTAGAGGAAACTTGCTGAAATACGTCAACACGGTGGATTTAATAGAAGCTTAAAGAACAAACTGGACGGTGTGAGGTGAGTTTGTCTCACTGCAGAAATAAAAACACACACGGAGAGTCAGCAGTCAGACACGTGAGCGTCAGAAGGCTGAACAATAGCCTGCAGACTAATTAAAGTCATCATGCTAGAGCAGCTTCTCTGTGGTGGACCACACCAGCTTCTGCCACAATAAATAATTATAATAATAATAATAATAAATCACACACAAAGCTGTGAACATTTTAATTTCCTTTCTGAACTATTTCTGTTGAGTTTTAATGTTTAAAATCTGTTAGATTGTTACGGACAGCAGCTACATTTAAGTTTCACTTTCTGTTCTGACTGAATGCTGCTGCAGCATGGAGGTGTAGTTCTCAGTCATCCTGGACATGATCATCCTGAGAGTTTTAGCTGGAAACAGCTGGACGTTTCTGGATATGTTGGAGACATTTAGCCTCTCATCCCAGAGGCTTCTTCCAGACTTTGGTTGTGGTCAGAAACAAACACACTGGTTGTGCTGCAAGTCTTTTTCTTTTTTCTCCAAAACATGTTTTTGTCTAAATGAAGGTGATGTTGTTGTTCATAGAGTTAAAATTCATGTTGAAGTTAAGAATATTTCATCAAGTAGGACCTGTGGTTAGGTGGCTCATGTAAAACATGTCATGTCTTCAAAGAATCGGAATCGGGAATCCATAAGAACTGGAATCGAAACGAGGAATTGGAATCGGAATCGTTTAAAATCAAACGATGCCCAACCCTACAGCTATGTGACCTTAACAAGATGTTGCAGCAAAGAGTTGGAAGAAATTATCCCACAAAGGTTACAGTAGTTCACCAGTGTGGCGATATTTTCACTCTTACAAGTCTGACAAAACCAAACAATGGTTTGCAACATTTACAGAGTATCAATAAAAACCAAGTCTGGTAATGCAACCAACTTGTTTTATCAAAAGGTAACGACAAAAAATGGCCAGGGCTGCACTTAAAACTTTTCTACATTTTTCATAGCATTTTCAATAATTACTGACATCGACTGATACGATTTTTTTTATCAATATGATTTTTTCCGTATCGTCCAGCCCTACTCATACCCCAGCTACGTAAGCAGGAACTAGAAAAACTGGGAACAGAACCCTAAGACTCAACAAGAGTAGTTAAAGAAACAGCTGATGTTCCACGGCATAGGGTGGTCTAACCACACAACAGGGTGGTGTGGTTTTTCTACTCAGCTGTGACACAGGTTTTTTTTTAAACATGAGTTTAAGGATTTGAGTTTTCTAGGGGACCCTGAAGGCAACAGTGCTAATTAATTTTTTACCTGCATCATGTGAGGCGAGCGCCCGCAGCATCTTGCCGGCGCTGCGTCTCGTCTGCGTCTCCTTGTTGCACAGCAACTCCATCAGCAGGTTGAGGGCACCAGTCTCCTTGAAGACACCTACAAGTGAGCCGATACTGGCATAAGCGCTCAGCACGTGGATGGTGTGCATGATGTTGATGGAGAAGTCACTCTTCTTAGCCATCTGTTTCCTGGCTCGACACACCAGGTTCATCACATCCTGCTTCATGTCCAACAGCTCTACCTCATCAAAGGTCACGTCTGTTGGAAACTCGCCTCCGCTCCTCTGGCTCCCATCTGCCACCTCGCCTTCCTGCAACTTCTCCTGCTGGAGGGGGCGCTGTGAGTCTGTTTTCCTCTTGCCAAGAAGGGTGGGGCAATTAGCATACACATCCTCCATTGACATCCACATCAAGATGTTCTCCGGTTTGGTTTCTCCAGAGGTGGAGCCACTGGATCCACCCACCCCTGAGCCGGCACTGCCCGCTCCACTCGACTCGCTTGCTCCGCCCCCAGAGACGGACCCATCTTCAATGGTAACCAGGCACCAGCGAATGAGGTACTCCGTTTGTCCGTCGTGGGTGCGGCGCTGGCGGATCAGCTCCTCGGGATATGCCTGTAGCCTGGGGCTGAGCTGGACCAGCAGGTTCCCGTTGCGGCGTTCGCCCACCATGGTTGCTATGGAGACGAGAGCAGACATCAGACATCAGGGTATATGTATAACTGAGCTAAGTATAGTTGCCAGTATCATTGTTACATATCGGCCCACATTTTCTTACGAGTGTATCTCTAGTATGAATCAACCAAAAAAAAAAAACAGAAAAGCATCTGATTCTAATTCATTCAGTTTTCATTTTGGACTCAACAGACCTGTGGAGGGAAGCTGCCTCCCTAGGCCAGGGGTATTTAACTTTGGTCCTGGAGGGCCAGCACGTTTTAGTGGTTTCTCTGCTCCAACACGCTTGACTGAGTGGTTGAATAACCTGCAGCAGCTCATCAGGCTTTGCAGAAGCCTGTTAATCACCTGCTGATTGAGATCTGGGGTCTCATTTATCAAACATTGCATAGAATCCTTACTAAAACCGTACTTAAGCTCAGCAAAAAAAATGTACTTACGCCAAGTAGGATTGTGATCTATCAAACATGGAGTACGCACAACTGCGCGCAATCTCCGCTTCATAAATCGGAGACTAACGAGAATGTTTCTCAGCTGCATTTTAGTCACGTCCCGCCCTCACCACGCCCACTTACTGCCATAAATAGTCAATGCAAAGTGCCTTGTGGATCTCATGCATATACATAAGCCGGTTGTTGCAGCACTCCGCCAATGACATGGTGACTGTAGATCAAGGCAAATCAAGGAAGCGCTATTTCACAGAAGCAGGAATTGAGGTACCTGTGGGTGAGGTGGAGAAATGAAAGGAAGTACTTTTGCAAATCAAATAAGAGAAAATCCACCGAGTGGCACAGTGTTGCTGAAGCCGTCAATGTTGTGAATTCTTCAGAGAGATCTGTGGCGGATATAAAAAAAATGGTCCAATCGGGATTCGATCCCCAGACTCCCGGGCGAAAGTCATGCGCACTTACCAGTCACCCAAACAGAGATTTCCCCTGTACAACTAGCCAGGGCGCATGATCAATTGGGTCACAGTGACAGGACACTGTCACAGACGCATGACATTCTGTCTTAATCAGTCCCCCTGCTGATATTCTGCATTCTGTATTCTGTGCTTCAGACTGTGTGTGTGGGTGCGCGCGTGTGTGTGTGCGCATGTGAGTGTGTGCGCACACGTGTGTGTGCGTGTGGGGGGTCTTATTCTGTGTGAAAACAAAGCAGTACTAGTGATAATGCTGCAGGATTTCATAATTGTATCCTTAGCAGCAGCAGCGCTGCAGGTGCTCTCCATGTCCAAAATGTGAGTAAGCCAGGTCCTTAGTCAACTTAAAGTTGCGCACATTTTTCCGCTAAGTTTTCTCTCATAAATCCCAAAGTTTGCGTGGAAAGTTGCTTACGCAGTTTTCCGACCCGTTTTGTGCGTAAGCAAGCTTGATAAATGAGGCCCCAGGTGTGTTGAAGCAGGATAAAACTGCTTGCTGCCGTGTCCGGCAGACACGGAGAAGCTTGAAGAATACCTCGCGAAAAAACTCTAAAATATGAACGTTTAATTCCCCCGTGACTCGAGGAGTGAAAAGATGCGCAGCAAGCGTTTTATTTGTGGACGGAAATGACAGGAAACGTGGGGTTAGAGGTGGCGAGCGCATGAAGAAGTGGAGGAGAATGAGAGACAAATTTGTCCGTGTTAAAAAGTATTTTATATAAAAAACAACAAAATAAAAACACACCATCTTGGACCGGATACATGACAGGATACCACAGAACAGCGCTACGCCCTCTGTTGTCCTGCCGGGCAATTGTTTTGCAACACTCTCCTGGAGAAGGAGAAGTAAGAGCAAAACGCTTCCGTCAATCCGTGCGTGTCTGTCCCTTGCAGAGCTGACGGAGAAGCATGAACCAGGCATAAAAAGTGCTGGACACCGGTCCTCCAGGCCCGGAATCGCATACCCCTGCCCAAGGCTGTGATCGTCTACACAACCTTTCATGATGAGACTTTCCTAACCGAGATGTTCCAACGGTCTGGAGAACCTGTGTGTTAGCTTAGTACAGACTGACGGACCCAAAAACCAGTTTCTATAAAACAACCAGGTAACCCAGCAACAGCGTGAAGTTGCGGTTCTTCATCAGGACTTGGTCTAACGTGGTCTGGAGTCAGACGGTTTTGTTTTCACCTTCAACAACGTTATTGACACGGACACGTCTTCACTTCCTTTAACTGGTTAACCCGCCAGCTGCTAGTTTACCGTTAACCTGGTTACCAAAACGGTCCACCAGCTTCGGTTCGGCAGGCTCGGATCGGCTGTCTGAGGCTTCTCCGCTCCGCTGTCACTTGTTGCGTTAGTTCTGCTCGAACTGCCGGTAACGGGCCCGCTGAAATCCAAAGTCTGGACTTGGTTCCGGCAGACTCAGTGGGTATCAGGTTGGCCCACAGGTACTCAGAATGGGTCAGATGATACCTAAACCTGCTAAACCGCTAGCACACGCGCTTTCTGTGGCGCGAACACTTTGAACAAGCCGTTTATTGAAGTAGTTTGGTGGGCTGACTGTGACCCGCCGCAGCAGGCCTACCGCTCCGCCCCGCTACTAACGACTTGGTGGGCAAACACTCCGGCCCAGTCTTCCGGTTCCCGGTCTTACCTGCCAAGTCACAGACCTTCACCCGCTTGCGCAGTCTCCTTTTCCGTCTCAACCTGTCGTTTCCCAGCCTGGTGGTCTGAGTTCGCTCGCTTACAGCCGCAGATCCGCGCTTGACGTGCATCTGCGCACTGTGATAGGATAGAACCACGTGACAGGTAGGTTCTTCTTCTACAGCTCGATGTTGCCAGCAGGTGTTAATGTAGAGCTTCTCCTGCTGTTCAGGAGTGGAGCTGCAGGAGCTCAGTCTCCTGGGCCCCCAGCACTAAAACCTCTGACTGAAGTCAGGGTTCAAGCTTTATTGCCACCAAAACTTTATTTAGAATTGCATAGTTTTTTGTTTTGTGTTCAAATGTTTTTACTAACAAAACATGGAACATTACAATAACCATTCATAACTTGAATTGAAAGCAGACAAGTGCAGCTGAAATAATGAAAAGGATGAGAATGCGTTACCACCAAGCTCGCTGTGGCCCAGCTGTTTGCCTGGTAACTGCCAGTTTCCTGTGGGAGGCCAGGGCTTGGCTGGTCTCAAATAAAGTGTTTGGTTGACATTTTGGTAAGACTTTTTTTTTGGATGTTACTGGTAGTGTTGGAGAAATCAAAGCTTTCCAAACCATTGAACCAATATGAAGCAAATGATTTGAAATTTTTCCGTGTTGTGAACCATTTGAAGCCAATAAAACGAGTGACATCTGCTGGCAGCGTAGAACACAAAAGGCAATAAATGTGGAAATAGATTTATGTCCAAATCGGTCCGTTTCTGTCGTTTAAAATCTTAATATTGTTGTATTACAGAGTGACTGTCCAGCAAAAAATACAATACAGCAGCAAACATCGACTCTGGAGTTTTGAATAGGTATGGGTCAGAGAAGATGAAAACTTCTACGATCCAATGCTTCATTCTTTCATTCTGATCATGGGGATGACTATTGAAACCTACCCCACCGGCCTTGCTCCGGGGATTTGCCTCATAACACTTCCCTCTGATCAGTTGACCACACCCCCATTGCACCCTTAATCTGCACTTCACCCAAGTCCGCAGCAATGCGGACCTCGGGCAAGGGTATTACCCATAAGTAACAGCCCTGACTTAAACCCAATTGAGCATCTCTGGAGAGACCTATAAATGGCTGTCCACCAACATTCACCATTCAACCTGACAGAACTGGAGAGAATCTGCAAGAATGGCAGAGGATCCCCAAATCCAGGTGTAAGGAACTTGTTTCATCTTTACCCAGAAAATTCATGGCTGTATTAACTCAAAGTGGCGCTTCTACTAAATACTGACCAAAGGGTCTGAATATTTAGGAGAATATGATATTTCAGTTTTACTTTTAGAATAAATCTGCAAACATTTCATAAATTATGTGGTTTTCTGTCAATTTGGGGTGCTGTGTGTACATACATGAGGAAA